CACCACCCTTTTGGCAGCACTTCTACCACTGTGTAGCCCAATGAAAAGCACACTATCATGATTCAATATGGAAATAACATCTGTGCACCTGTATTGCCACCTCCCAGGGTAACATCTGAACACTGAACAGGAGCAGTAATAAAGTACAAGCCTATGGAGCAATTAGTACCCCAGAATAACTCTGGAATAATGGATATAACGCACTTGAACTGAAAGGACCTTACAGAGAATAAGGCACGATAAGGTCCTTACTGGATGTTACTGGAAATTCAGTGACAGAAAAAGTTTACTATCTGGGTTAGTAATTACAATAAGGACAAAGGTCCCAGCCAATGCTGAAACACAGGCCAGGTAGAGACATTACACTTTTACCAATATACGTAATCAGAAACCAATCCATACCTGTAACAGAAGAGAAGTTTTGCACACAAAACCAATCTATGCCCATAACAGAACAGAAATTCAGCACACAGACTGGTTTAAAAGTGGCAGAACCCAGTCTAAGATTTGTCTCCTGCACTAAGGGGTGAATATGAGTGTTTTGTTCATTACTGATCTAAACTATGCTGCTTACAGAAAACCACATAACTTGGATTGGTTCCACTTCAGGCTTTTGAATGTCTGTACCTAGCCACAGTGTGCTATGCATGGTACAAATATACAGCAAGACACTGGCCCTTTTTGAAGACCTTGCAATAGAAATTGACGAATTAAATCAGTCTTGGTTACTGAATCTGTGATCAGTGCTCCATACTGAGGTTTTCTGACAGCAGTCCAGGGATAGTTAGATTGAATATCCTGTCAGCATATATTTTCCAGTGAATATTCAGCTAACATTCAGATTGCTAAATAGGACAAGAATTTTATTTCCCAGTCCACATTTGGAACATCACAAACACCCTATGAAAACACGCTAAATTTTGAAAAACTGCACTGCAGTATCCTTGGCAAAGTGAAAAATCTGAATCTACCAAGCGAAGTTAGCCCTTCAGACTGGAAACTTCTGTAAGGCAAATATCTAAGTGATTAAGTTTTTTCTGTAGACAATGGTTTTGTACACTGTTGAAATAAAAGCGATTCTTCAAACTGACCTGTTCAGGCTTACAGAACTACATGCAGACACACCTATCCTCCTAAACATTAATTTGGTTGAGAGTCCAGAATTTTTTTTCTAAGGCTTTAAATGTTAAGGGCTGCAATACAAAAAATAAAATAAAATAAAAATGGCAACCCAAAAGGAAGGGATAAATCAAAAACCCTGTGAATCTCTCAGGAATACAGATCTTTAGCTTGTATCCTAGCCACTGCCAAATAGAAAAGGAAGTAGGGTTGGGGATAGGGCAGGGGGAGGCAAGCTTTGGGGAAGAATAGAACTTCAACAAGAACAAAATCACCGCTTTTCCCAATCTCTCACTACTGCCTCTATATCCCAGAGAAAAAGAACCCTACTTACAGTGTTTCAGATGACAGAAGACCACTCTTTCAAAGTCCATCTTTATACTGTTTAATTTTCAGTTCTACCTGAGCAAGGGGTGCTAATAAAAGGTGAACACACTCCATACATTAGAGTTCATTCCATTGGCTGTACTGTCACTGAGGAGGTGTGGGCATAATTTCTACTTCTTTTGTGCTGCCTGACAACATAAAGGGAGCAGATCACATCTGTGAAATTAAGTCCAAGATAAATAATTCAATATTAATAATGTTTTGGAAAATATTTTTTTAAAATTTGCACCCAACAATGACTACAACTTCAAATGTCTGGAGTTTGACTGGAATGATTTTAAATATTGTATGTACAAAAACAGATCCCACAAACACAAGACTAATAATAAAGTAATGAACATGGGTTCAAAGGTTCAATTCTAGCCAAGCAGGAATCTTTTACATAATTATTACAGCTTATCTAAACTTTTGAACTCTTTTGCAAGCTTCCTGGTATTGCCAGTTCACTGGTATTATATTATGGTACCTGCCAGAGACCTAGATCATACTCAGGTGTCATTAGTTAGGCACAGAGATAGACAAAGCCGCAGCCACAAACAGCTTACAATCTGAATATCTGAATTTCTACAGCCTCTGCACAACACCTTCAGTTCACACTAATCTTACACCAGGACTAGGGAAGGTTGATTTGATACATGGGTATTTACCTAAATGTATCCCAACTGCAAGTTCTGCATACGAGAGTCTGATCAGTACATATTTTATAAAAAAAACAGTTTACTCTACTGTCATGACCTCCACCTTTGGCTCAGGGCTTCATGGGGTGTCATGACTGTTTTCTTGCATTTATTTCACTGATGTGGCATGTATAGTCTCATTGGAAAGCCCATGTTATGATGTATCCATTTATGTTGCTTTTTCCCATTTATGTCATGTTATGTTGTCTGTGTATATCTTTGAGATTTGGGGCATGGTTTAGCTAAGGAAAGGGAGTGGACAGAACTGCTAAATCTTTCTTGCTGTTGTGACACTAGGGCAAAAAGAACTGCTATTCCTAGACACAGGCAGAAGGAGGCATTATTGGGTTGGGCACCCGAGGCACTTCCTGCCTGTAATGGGGAAATCAACTCCTCTATAGAAAAGGCATCTAAGACTCACTAAGAAGCCAAAGTGCTCCTATTATTTTAAGACGAGTTGCAGCAAAATGAGCTGGCCCGGGGCTGTCTGGTTGCTAATACACAGGCTAACTGCTTGTAAACTAGCTGCCAACTAACAAGGTATAACAGGCTGTGAGAGGGCAAAAGAGGGGGGTACCCAGAGCTGGAGCCCAACAGAAGCCGCACTGCATCATGGTTGCCCCTGGGGTCTGGTCCTGTTACAGAGACAATTGGCTCATTGGCCAGAGGAATTCCAGGTGTCTCAGGGAGGCCAGAAATTATGGAGGGTTCTGATGACTCACGAGAAGGTTGACTTGGGGGTTGGTTTGGAGTGATTTAGGAAATGATCTGTGGGATATGCTTTGTCTTTTGGATTCCTTCCCTGGCTGGAGTAAGGGCCAAGACCCTAGGAGCCGGGGCTGATAGAATCAGCTGCAAGGCTGATCTCTTAAAAATTCTGGCAGGACTCTCAAGAAGTCTAGGGTGTAGCCAAATGAGACAGAAAGAAGCTTTACTTGTCTTGTTCTTCTGTCTTCAAACCTATGCTCAGTTTCGTCTGTATAATTCTTTTCTCTTGCATAACAAATCCTTTTGTTGTTATGTCTCTTTGTTGGTTGCCTGTGGAAGTGATTTTCCAGGCAACTGACATTCCAGGCTAACCCACTTTAAAACTCAAGGCCCTGGGGTTTGTGACATCTACTATATAAAATACTATGTTATAAAGGAATGTTATATAATAAGATATAATAAAGCCAAGGTTCTTTATATACTTACTTACCAATATAGATTGGTATATACATATGCATTGTCAACTGGTAGTGGGGGTGGGGCACGTGTCCCCCACAACAGGGCTGTCCCTGCCGCTTCCGCCACTGGTGGCTTCCGTGTGTGCTCGGCAGATCCGTGCCCGCCGATGTTGCCAGTGGCTTTTTCTGGGGCCCCCCGTTGCCGGGTGTCCTGGGCAGATCCGTCCCCGCCGATGTTGCCAGTGGCTTCTGCAGGTGCACCCCCCAGACTCAGGAGGCACCAGTCACCCACGTACATATGTATATAGATTGAGGAGTATATTCTTTCCACCTTTCCTGCCCAGGCTGCCCCCCTGTACATAGGCAACTGTTATTACTTTAAATACAAATGCAGGTGCAAGAGCATGAAAATTTGTCCCCCTTTCCAAAGAATGTTGATGGCCCTAGACAAAATGAAACCACTGCAGTTATGCTGAATGGATTTGGGTCTAGGCTAACAGCCAAGGCACAGTGTATGTATATATTATATTCCCTGTGGAATTTAGCTTTAGACAGCCTCTTAGTGCATCTGTATAGCTTTATATAACTTCTTAGTTCCCAACTGGGAAGCAGCAGGAAGGTTTAAGAGGCTCTATTGAAAACAAGCTCTGAATACAGGGTTCAAAGTCTGAATGAGTGATCTGCTTAGATATTTAAAGTGCTATATGGCCCTCATTTACCAGAATGACTGAATGCTTCACGGATGTTAGTGGATTCACCCTACCAATGGGAATTAAAGAAATATTAATTTGTAGTTTATAATATCAAAACTGAACAGAGACCACACATGTTCAACCTGCAGGACATTAAGCACCTGAAATTCAAGATGAAGTCAATGGAAGCTGGTTTCAAAAGTGCTCTCAACTTTTGTAAAAAATCAGGCCCTATGAGTTTTTCTATTGCCTTCAAAAGCCTTTGGGTTATGCTCTGATTTGCCTAAGTTCAGACAAGTCTGTCTCAGAGGGGAGAATGAATCCTCATGATTCCAAGCTTGCTGCTTTAACCACAAGCTTATCCACTCCATCCTTTTATTCCTGATTACATAGTGCCACATCTAACAAACACCAGACTTGTTCTCTGTAACCCTGTGGCTTGTCTAGTTACACATGCTTCTGCACAGTTCAGGGCTGTTATTCCAATTTGTAACATTTAATATTCACTTTATACAGTGATCACAAAAGATGCAAGGTAGGGGTAAATTGGGTCTAAAATATATAAATTCTTAAACATTCAAGTCCTAATAACCTTACTAACTGTGTTAACATATAAATTTTACAAAATTGAATAACTTATTAAATAAGTGTGAATAACATCTATATTCCTTGCTGAAGGCATCTTTGAAAGGACTCTTCTCAATTCAACTGCTCTGGGATTTTTCCGTAGGAGATCATATCAAAAGAGCTAGTAACCTTTTCTAACCTGACACTTGGAAAGCTCTGACTTAAATAATTGCTATTTCACTTTGGCTTTGTGCATACTAGAAAGAGAAGCACCTGAAGTTGACATCTAGTATACCTGAAGTAATTTTGAGTTTCAAACACAGTCAAGCAGCAATCATTAAATGTCACGGGTTATTAATTTGAAATGGTTTACAATAGACAAAAAGACCTACCTCAGGCTAAGGGTCAACTGCTGCTCCTTTGATTTGACCAAGTCCCCTACTTTGAAAGTAGTGCAGCCCAGGAAACTTCGCTATAAATGGGGGGGGGGGGAAGAAAGAAGGACATCTTTATTAATTCGTGAAGTTTTAATCATTTCACTTTTAGCCCTATGCCTGCAAATCTCTCTCTCGCAGCAAGAGAGAAATATTAAAACGAAGCCCACTGCCTTGAGGTATTATCTTGCAGAATGCTTTCGTACATCAATGACATGATTATCAATAAGCTGTTAAGCTCTGTTTTTACAGACAGGAACCCATTCGTTTTCATTAAAAACAAACAGTCTAACAACCTGCCACATACAGGCCATGAAAAGTAGAGCCACAGGAAAATTTTCATTCTGCATGGAGATGGAGTTCCCCTTTGCAAGTGATTTCTGTAATACAGGAAATGTTAAATGTTCAGGTTTTTACCCATGTTGCTCTTGCTACAGTAATTCCTCAATCCCTTGTAGTCTATCATCTTTGTACTCCAGATATGAATGTATTTGCTTGCTGGAGCTATTTTTCTGTGCAGCTTAATACAAGTTATTAATAGAAATACTGTATCTGCCTAGTTTATAGCCAAACACATGAACATTTGTTTTCTTTGTTATTCCCACACTTCACTGGACCAATTACTTTCTAGTACATTTAAAGGGAAATGCACTCACCCTGCTCATTTTTTCTAAACTTTTCTTGACATACATTGCTACATGTCATGTCTCTCTCAAGGTCACCCTTTTTGCATCTCTGAGCAACTAGTACAAATAGCAAAACTCAAACTCATTATTCCCTTTCTGGGAGAGAACTTTTCATCCTCTTCTGATATCCCCACTGCTCTCAACACTGAAATATCAATTTATCAATTTCTTTCTATCCCAGGGACAAACAAGAAAGGGAAAACACCCCAAAAACCTTATGTACATATTCCATGCCAATATTTTTTCAATATACAACTCACTCTGATTCTCTGTGAATAAACAAAAAGATGGTATTTTCATTAGTTCACGTACAGACTTGGAAACAGGGTAAGCAAATAAGCACCAAGTTCTGTCACAGCATATATACTTAGTTTTATTTTTGTCAGATTAACAAAATAACAAGAGGGAAAAGACTAATGGCAAAAGCAATGTGCTCTTGTAGGGAGAACCCAGGGACAGAAGGTCCTAGGCTCAAGTTACATGTTTCAAGGGTCAGCCTAAGCTTTATGGAGACAGCACATTCAGCTCTTGAAAATGAACAACACTTGTTACTGTTGAATAAAAGTTGGGCCATGCCTCCATCAGTAAGGTCAACTTGCCTTTGGATCCTTGAATTTTTAAAAGTGGGCAGAGGTTTAGTGCCTGGACAGATTTTTCAAGCATCTAAAAATACATGGATATAAACCTAAGTGTCAATCTGGGGACCCAAATATGGTTTCTGAGTTTGAAAAATGGGGTCTTCAGCAAGGCCTACTCAAACCCCCAACCCTGATCCCAGTCCCACACTCATGGTGATGTCCATGTGAGTTTCCCTCTCTTTGCTGCACAGTTAGACAGGAAGGCAAGGAGAGTAGGTACAGAAATTCAAAACAGTATGGGTGAGGGAAAGTACCAAGACAAAGGTTGGGGGAATAGGAAACCCAGGGAGGAAGGAAGCAGATTGGAGAAATGAGACTGTACAGAAACAGAGGGTAAAAAATAGTGTGGTTATGTAATTGTAGAATGTGGCAAAGTCTTTATTGTCAAAAAGTATGATTTTACAAAGTGCTGTAAATAACTTAAATAAACTGTGTGTATCATCTTGCATACAACATGCCCCCGAATATAATACACACGTTGTTTTAGAAAGACAGAATGAAGTAAAAAATATTTTTCCAGAATTAGGACTACATGGAGCATGGAAAAGTTTAGTCTTCAGATGGCTCCACGTGCATTTCCTGCATAAGTAAGGCTGAAACTCTAGCTGTTGCTGGAATCTGGTCTCCATGGGTGAAAAGAACTAAAGTGTCTCCAAGATTGTGAAATAGTAACAGAGAGACAAGAAGCAGCCAGTAGAGAGCAAAACTGTCCTAAGAAAGATTAGCTCAATTAGTGAAACATCAAGCCTGTTAAAAAGGAGAGAGGATTATTAATTCCCCTGGAGTGAAGAACAATATAAGTCATTAAGTAACTGACTCCCTTGGCTGCCTGAATAGGAATGCACCGACTGCTGTGCTATGCAGCAGGGGAATCAAAGTAGGGTGCTTCCATTCCAGCCAGAAAATCAGCTTCCCTATTGAATACACACACCCTAATTTTGGGGGCTATTTTGGGGGGGAAAATGTGCATGCTGTATGCAAGGAAGTGTGTGTGTGTGTGTGTGTGTGTGTGTGCGCGCGCGCAAGGATGGATGGAAGTACAGTATATATATATATGAACAGTCCTAGTGAGACAGGATACAAGTAGCTTTCAACTCAAGGTAGCCAGTTCATGTCATAATGCCCAAGACTAGATACCTAACTCTAATTAGCTATAACACTGTGAAAGCAAACCAGTTTTAGAATTAAAGACCGACAATATCACAAAGTGCACACAAACAAAGTCTATTTGGACATTTCCCAATTCCTGTGCACTTGACTTTGAAATGTTATCAATCCTTTAACACGATCTTTTGCATATAAGTTAGCTTTCCGTGATAAGCACCATCTAACTCACTTTCTCTTATCTTACACAGGGTTTACAACAGGGCTTTGATCTCAGTTGGGATCTAGGTATTACTGTAATGCAAATGTATAGTGATGAAATGAAATAGCAAATAAGAAAATCTGGACATCTGTGGCAGCTCTTTTAAGCCAAGACCCTTTGCTATTACAGGTCTGAAAGGCCTCTGGGAATTAGCCTAACTTTTCCAAGCTCATAGAACACATAGAAAATAGTATTATTTTCCAAATTCCAAACATCATTTTTGTATTGTGGGGAGCGGGG